GTCTTACATTTTAGATATTTTCTCCCAATTACTAACAACTAATTACATTGATTTTAACCTCCAATCCAACTGGAGGGAAGAATCACAAATACGGGAAAAGGAAGATATGTACTGCTTGGTTCACCTGTGATAGAACCGATAGTGACCTCTTGTGGTAAATACTATCTACAGAGATTTGGAGAACAATACAACCTTTTTCCTAGGCCATGCACTGGAGAACACAGAAGCGCTGTTCTCCGTGCTCACAAACAGCTGTTATTAACAATTAAAGTAAAAGACAAATATTGACTAAGCTAAAGGATTTCTTGTTGGAAGTCAACTCATCACTGTCAATTAAAATATTCATAGCTGCTGTCTTCTACTAAAAACTAGTGTCTTGCATGGTTCCTTCAGGAGGGCAGTTAAAGGATAGCTAGGTACCTGGAGTTCTTACACACCTACTTCAGGAATCATGCAAAAGACAGACAAAGAGGGCAATTTCTGGTGAAAACAAGAGTGATCTGGGATAAGCAGAGTTCTGGTCAGCAAAGCACTGCTACTCATTACATAATACACTGTGGGCTCTAGAGCAAGAGACAAATCCACTGGCTTATTTATAAATATCATTTAGGGAGCGGTCAGTATAATTTCAACCTCTGTGATATTTTAAAAGTAAAAATGATACATTGTAATACCTGAGTAAACCAATCAAACACAATGTGGTTCTATCAGTATTTCCTCAATAATGGTTTAGATGTTAAAGAAAATCTTTCAAGAAAAAATATCAGGAACTTTATGCCAAAAAGAATGTTTTTCATCATTTCTTTTACATTGGATGCTACTAAAGAGGTAGGATATCTTTTTTTGTTTTATTTTTAAATCACTAGTTCTTTATTTCTTCTCTAGGTTCTCTTTTAACATCTTAGTTTTTACAAATCTAAATTATAGCAAAAAAATAATTTTGGATTTTCCTATAAGAGATGACTAAGTCAAGAAAGTGCTTGTACAATGTAGATATCTCAAGCAATAATGGAAAATCGAGTATATTGAACTTTTTCTCTTGCAGGTTAAGCAGTTGATAAAATACCACCTTTTCTGTTTCTTCTTTCCTGAGCCCCTTTTTTTCCTCTAAAGAGAAAAACATTTATAGATTTTTGTAAAGTTTAAAATATTAAAGAACAATAATTAAATTCTAATAAAAACACATTAAATTTGGTATGTATAATATTTCAAAATGGCAACCTAGTTCACTGTCTGGAAACGAATCATTTCTGCCTCTATTCTAAGGAATCAAAGACAACATATGAATAAAATGTGCTACCCAAAGACATAATCAGATTGAAGGCTTTGATAATGTTTTGTTTCATCTGAATCTAAACTGTCACCTATAATTCTTAAAATACTCATTTTCTTTCAGGTATTTACCCTCCACCCACAAGTTTTCTACTCCCTACAGTCCAATGTATACTGATGAAGAGTCTGCACAAATAATTAACAATTAAGCAAGAGAAGACAGCCTAATAACGTGCCAGACATGGCTTCAGTCAAGAAGTACTTTGGGCTGGGGCACAAGGCATGTTACACAGGTAATCAACTCATCCCATAGTTCCAAACTTTTCATTCCTAGCAACTTATTTTGAACCTCCTAGCCCAAACTGGATCTAAACCTTGCTATTACACTTATACTTTTGACCTTTACAACTTCTTAGGCTACTAATAATGGGCTCTCAACAGCTACTAAAATCACATGTTAAGAATTATTGTAATTCCTTTTATTTATCTAACACCAATATTGTCTTTTATCTTAAAACTAAAAAGAGGAATTCCCTACTTCTTCTCTTGTGAGATTTGGCCATAAAGTATGTTTGTATCCATCCTACTCAATGGCCCTCATTATTTTATTTTATAGACTTTGAATCACCAATAACACTTTGAAATGCTTCCCCATAACAGACTGAGTCAACCAAATAAGGAAAATAAAAATCCAATCTGAAGAGGTGTAAAGCAACAGCAAAAAGGAGCTAGTGCTACTCTAGGGCACAGAATGCAGCACTGTTATTCTGGGAAATTGCAAATGAGGAGTTAGGAACTTTATTAGGAAGTCCTCTGGTTTAAAAGCTATATCTAAATAGACCACACTTTGTGCTCTTTTGTTCCAAATCATGAAGAAGTTCTCTGATAGATGTCTAATTAGCTGTGATTTCAGTTCATTACTGATATCCGTGGACAAATTAGTGCCTGATGTTTTTTGTGGCCATTACTCTTCCAAATCTGATATTTCCCTCTTTGTGTCTCTTTTTCTGTATTTATTACTTTCCATATCTCCCTTTTGCTCTTTGTGTGTACAAGAGAGGTTTTTTTCCCCTGTACATCCATCTTTGTATCTGGATGGATGCCTGTCTGTAGTGTATCTGTGTACATCTCTCTGTATACGTGGCTATTTCATCTCACGCTCAGTAAAAGATCTGATCTTTTCATAAGAGGAAAATGGTATTGTATGAGAAAGAGAAGTATTTCATGAGGTAAGGGCAAGTAGGCAACCCCAGCCCATCGTTCTTCAATTTCTGTCTTTTCCACTACCCAGTCTATCTTTCTTCAGTTTCTGTCTTTTCCACTAAAGCTCTGTCAACACTTCAATTTCAGTGTTGTTAAGTTAGTGAATAATGAAAACTTCTCTGTGACAAACCTCATCCATCTGTGAGAATCCTGAAGGGAATTTTCTCTGTTAGTCTCAATTAAACAATTTCTCAGAATGAATTTTTCTATTTCTCTGCCAAATCATATAGAAATGGCAACAACTGTGGGATACTCCCACATGAATGTGCAGACCAATTTAATACTGTAATTCTCAATTTCTGGGGCTCTTCCTGTAAAAGTAGTACTGAGACTTTCTAATTTTTACTACCTACACATGCACATACTTACCTCACATAGCCAATACTTTGCAAACAAAGCTTGGAGATTTTGAGTAGTGGTCTTAAAAGCTAGCCATAAGCAATTAGAAGCGACATTTTAAATGCCAAAACAGATACATTTTCATTTGCACTTGGTATTGTTATCCATTGAAAGAAACATTAAACCAATGAAGCAACTATGAACATGAAGTGTCAAAACAATTAAACATTCATTGATTTGGATGGTAGGTATAAAATAAGAGGTGGCAGAAGCAGATATTTCTAAGCCATATTAAGGTAAGTCTTAATTGCCTACTAAATCTGAAATAAAAGATATTCTACAAACTGGCTCATAGTTCCACTCTGTAGAAGAAGTTTCAACCAAAGATGCTATATTACTAAACTTCGGTCAAGAAATTCTCATCTTCTTTCTGGTCATCGTGAAGAGAAACAGAGAGCCTATGAGTTTTTTCAGGCCTTCTCTGACAAGTCCCCTCATGGACCAAATTGTATGGAATTGAAATAACCCAAGAGGATGAGAAAGAGGAAATAAATGTATGTATTTGAAGTAGATGATTCCAATAACATTTAAAGTTTCCAAACTGGTTATTTTAATAGTACCATCCCCTTGTATTCTAGGTCTTCATTTAACACAAATACATGAAGGTAGGTATAAACATAGAAACTGCCTATCATTATGAATTTGTATTTTATATTATCATAAAAAATCAAAAACACATTTCAAATCACACTGGAATAGCCAAAAATATTATAGATTTTTTAAAAATTAGACCAAGGCTATTATGATCCTAATCTAAGAATTACTATGATCTAGTCAACCAATTCAAGGAAAGCATAATTGTATTTAATTATTTATTATTATTTTAGTGTGACTCTGTCTTACCCACTAGGCAGAGAGCTTCTTGAGAACAGAATTGTCTTAATCATTCCTTTTATCCAAAGGACCCCATAGAGTGTCTCTTGTACATGGCACCCAAATAAATATTGTTTCAATGAATGAGTAAACAATGAATTATGGAACTGCATAGGGTATTTCCATTGCTTTGGTTCAAGCTCTACTGGAATCAATATGCAGCAATATCTTTCTCATAAGTTGCCCAATAAAAGATCTCAAAATAAAATAACAGGCCTCTGAAGGAAAAAAAAAAACTTTGAAGGACACTTTACATATCTTGCTTGTAAAATTGGAAATTATATAAAAGAATTAAAAAGACAGGAAAGATGTAGATTTAGGAAATATGCAAAGTTTTTAGGGTCTTAAAATGTGAACTATATAATGATCTCCATTCAGAATATCTTGAAGGAAATGAATTTGTAAATGGATGGCATTTTAAAGACACTTCAAGGCAAGAAAACCTTACAATCGGTAGCAAAGAATTTTTTGAATTCTTACTCCAGCTCTTGAAGAGCACAGTAGCTATTGCTTCCCTTTTACATTTCTCCTGTTTAAATCAAATGAAATATATCATATAGATTAATAAAGAGCAATGCAGAGTGAAAAAAATTAAAATAAAGAAACTTTAAACACAAACTTAACCACAGTAATTGGCTTCCCATTTTTCAAGTACTGACTCTCTCAGGTTCAACTCCAACTCCTCTCCCTAGCACAAGTTCCCTTCAGCAGTGCTCATTGGGCCCCAAAGCCATTCCAGAGACATGTCTTATTAAGTAGCCGCTTTCACAGCCATTCCCAACTTGAGGGAAACCCTTCCGCTAGGATTAACTTTAAGAATTTGATCAGTCCCTGAAGCCTCCTTGAGGGGGAAAAAAGGTGGGGAAAGGATGAACAAGAAAGATATCCCTCATCAAAGGAAAACTCAACTTTATTCTCCAGATGAACCTACACCCTACCAGCTCCCCCTTCACTTCTGGGCTCTGGACAGGTGGGAGGGAGGGGAGTCTGTCGTGGGGAGGAGGTGCAACTAACTTTCCTTCACCACCTTACTCTCCTCCGGACCCCAAGTCAGGTCCAGCTAGTAACTGAAGCCACCAGGTAGGGCTGTCTGCACCCCCCCTCCCCCTTGGGAGAGGGATGGGTTGGGAAGGATGGGGGGCGCGCGTGGGGAGGATGGAGGTGGGGGTGTTCTGAACTGCAACTCTTCTTACCACTGGAGCGCCTGACGATGTTCTCCAAAAATGTGTTCTGCGGTGCCACCAGCCCTCTCTTGCCCCCCGGCATCCTGGGTCTGGAGAGCGGCGGCCAGGATCCGCGGCGGGGGAGGGGGGGATGCAGGAAGAGAAGGTGGAGGAAGAGGAGGTAAAGGTGGAGGAGAAGATCGAGCCGAAAGAAGAGGGGGCGCGGCGGCGGCGACAGGGTCCCCTGACTGTGTCTCCAGCCCGACCCGGATGAGCAGCTCTGGGGAGGAGGACCAGGCAGTTCATGGTAGTAGCGCTCCCCCGGCCGCCGCTGCCCAGACTGTGGCGGTGCCGCACACGGGGCTCGGGAACTGCAGGCTCCGCGGGGCACAGTGCGCCTGCGCCGCCCCCGCTGTCGCTGTCCCGCCGGTGCTGATGCTGAAGCTGCTGCTGAGCCTGCTGCCGCGGCGGCGGTCGCCCGGGCGCGGACTCAGCATTTCTCCCGCTGCCCCGCGCCCCGAGGCCGGGGAGCGGGAAGAGTCGGCTCAAGCCCTAGCTCCCAGTCCCTCTCAGCCCAGATCCGGACCCCTTTACGGAGCCTTCCTTTCCTGCCGCCCTAGCCCACCCCTCGCGCGCAGCTGGGATCACGGCTGCCCAGCTGAGCCCAACTTCTGCCGGGCTGTGCGCCGGGTGGACGCTCCTCTCTCCCCGGAGATCCAGACAAACGTTCGCTGTCCAATGGGGCCGTGGAGCGGGAAAGGAAAAAGCAGGCAGGGTGCCAGAGAGAGCAATGGGCAGTCGGAGGGGGTCACATCTCAGCTTCTCCCGCCGGGGTCCGGAGCCCCGGCTACTCCCGAGGACGTAGCTGTCGGGGCGAAGGTGTAGATCAGCTCCCGCTCCAGCTGAGGCTGAGCGCGGAGCAGGGACTGACTGGGAGGCGCGCGGGGACGCAGAGCAGCCACCTGACGCTGCTACCGCCCCCCTCCGGGCTTCCGCGCCCGAAGCTCAGCGGAGGAGCTGTCAGCACCCGCCCTGCCCCACGCGCAGGAGCTGCGGCCGGCCAGGGTCTGCGCGCAGAGCCGGCGCGGGAATGGCCCCTGCGCCTCCCGCTGCACCTGGCGCGCGGAGGCGCCTCCGAGCCGGGAGCCTCGGAGCGCCACCCGCGCTAAGTTGCGGGAAAGGTTGCACTTAATTCAAGGAGTAGGAAACGAGGGTGAATAAATTCACACGCGGGGAGGGGGGGGAGTGCAGCGGACAGGATTTGTGGAAAAACAGAGAAGGTGGTGGGAACGGAAACAGCGCAGGGCGGGGGGGGGGGGGGGGGGGGGGGGGGCAGGAGGGAGGCAGGCAGAAATCTTCTCTAACAGCCTCCATCAGCTCAGAATACAGAGTCCAAATGCAGGAAGCTACCACCGAGAAGGGAAAATGGCATAAGTGCGAATCGAGCGCGGAAGGATGGAAAGGGAAGGGGGAGCTCACGCAGTGGCACCTTTTATCTAAACCAGTGGTTCTCAAAGTGCTCCTTGACTAGCAGCATCTCCTCAGAACTTCTGAGAAATGCAAATTATCGGGCTCTACCCCCAAGCTGGGTAACTAGGAACTCTTGGGGCCAACCAACAACGTGTTTTAACAAGCCCTCCAGGTACCAAGATGCTTGCTCGCTCAAGTTTCGGAAGCACTACAGCTTCCCTTCCTGAGGCTCCACTGGGCCCGTGTAGAAAGGGAGATTGTTAAGCAGCATCAAGGACTAGAGACAAAAATGCTGCGGCAGCACGGTGTGAAGTTTGTGTCTAGGCGAAGCATGGATTAGTGAAGGCAAAAGCACGGTTGTATGGGGGCGTCCCCTTTTGCTGGGCTCATAATATCTTAGATAACCGCTGTTAGAAATGATCGAGGCTAAGAGGCTAAGTTGCCCGGAAGCAGCAGGAATGCTCAGGCTGGCGTCCTAGGAAACATCTGCTCAGCTTTGGTTTGGGGCAGGCAGGAAAGAGGGAAGGTGTTTGACTTTGTTTGAAAACCCCTAGATTATTAATCACTGGCCTCATGTTACGACCACTCTCTCTCCAGAGCACCCAGGGGGTAGGGCCTTTGCCATTGACCGAGAGACACATAAATACACAACCAGAATCCAGGTTTTAACCTAGGGTCACAAGGATCCCAGGCACACATTGGATCGCTCTAATCCGCCTGCCACCGGCAGGGTTCAGATTTGTGGCTGAGGTTACAGCTCCCGGGTATGTGTAAGCGCCGGAGAAGTGGAAAGGCGTTCTTAAACACACAAACTGCATTCCCCCTCCCCCCCGCCCCCGCCCGCATGGGTCTTACATAACCTGTGTACGTGGAGACTAAGCTGGTGTACAGACACAGCATGGTCTAGACTAATGAGCCATTCACAGACTGCGGTGGTAATAGGCAGGCTAATCTTTACACACACACACACACACACACACACATATATATATATTTATATCATATATGTATTACATATATCACAATATTTATGATATATATGATTCATAGTTTGCAATTCTAGACTTCTAAAATGATATGATAAATCCATCAACATCATTAACAGGAAAGACTTCAGTGCTTCAGATCTATACGTTCTTTTGCACATCATCAGCTGCCCACATCTCGCCTCTGGGTATTGATATAAAATCTCTGTTTCCCAGCATTTCCCATCTAGTATAAATATCTCTGTTCCTAATTACTCCTCTGTGGGTGTATTAGCTCACACTTCCCAAAGAGGAAACTCTTTTGGACTCCATTAAGACACAGTCACACAATTACTGGTAGAACTTCCTCTTTTATTTCCATCTGCAGATTTAATTAAAATGACATTTATCTTTTCTTCTTTGTCCTTAAGTGTATAGCATTATTACTTTTGGATTATTTTAGTCATTGTACAAAAAATCACTACAGTGTCAGGCCTTTGGTTTCCACGCTTGTCTTAATCTTCTAGTTTAAATTTTTATCTTACAGAGGAAGAAACCATGACCCAGAGAGATGAAATGACACAGTGCTTTAGAAGCTGCACTGAGCCTAGAATCAAGGTGTTTGACCCTATAGCAAGAGCTCCTTGTAAATAATAGAAAATAATCTGATGCTAGCTAAGAGCTGGTAACAACAGGTAACAGCCGGTGATCGCTATTGCCACCACTGATTTTACAGCACTAGAGAGAAGAGAAACCCCTGGCAACAACTTGCAACAGCCTCTAATCAAAACAGAGTTGAGGAAAGTAGGGTGGCACGGTATGGACTGACTATAGCCCTAAGGAATGTGCTGGCACATTGCAGCAAGGTGCCAATACAGCATTTTAAAAGTGTTTTGCAGACAGAGTCCATATGTTGCAACCAAACTGCAGGATTTAACAGGTGAGACATAGGAATCAAAAATCTTCAATGTCACACAAAGGGCTTCGTTTTGTTTCATTGCAAAGATTCCATTTTAAAGCAGAATCATTTGTGCTTTTCTTCCTTCTTGAGATGTTGTTATTAGAGTGGTTGTTGTCTTTGAGAACCAGGGATTCCAATACCCAGAGGTGTTTGCTGACCCCCAAATCGCAGCTCTGAAGTGAATGGATGCTAGCTGAACTGCAGATGCATTCTAGGGTAACAGCATCCAACATCAAAGTGAAGACTCAGACATCTGATGTATTAGGAAGTGATGGTCTCTAATTACTACTGGCTCTCTGAAGGTGAGCACCCCATCCCTCCTTTGAAGATTTTTTAATGTAGTTTATTTGACAGTAGTGTAATTACATATAAACTCTCAGAAATCCATTAGAAATAGGTCCAGTCTGACTTAATGTTTGATCCCGTATGTGAAAATAACCTACCCACTACTCTATAGGGGAATGATTTTTCTCCGCACCTCCAAATTTTGTTTCTGAGATAAAAGCACGGGTCTAAGGTGCAATCTGAGGATGCTGAAGGGGTATCCCTCATGGAGGAATGGGAGCAAAGGAGAAAGAAAGAGGTCAGACCCTGCTCTTCACCTTGTCCTCCAGGGTTGGTCTCATTAGCAGCAGTTACCAGTCAGCACCATTTCCCCCTCCCAAACCCATTTCCCAAGTGTCTCTCTCTGCTTCCCCTCAGAGGCATGGCCCAGCTCTAGTGGTGAAATATTCACACATTACTACCTAATTGTTTTGCATGCACAAAGTCCCACACTTACACTTTTAATCTCCCTTCCCCTCCTCTTCTCCCACCCCCTCCACAATCTAAGCTGAGAAAAAGCTGAGTAGACAGCAGAGTAGAAAGCAGACTATTGTATAGAGGTACATTGCTTGGACTCTGGACCCAGACTGCCTGGAATTTAATCTTGCCTCATACTAGCCATATGACAGTGGGAAATTTGCATAGCCTCAATCTCCCCTTCTGTAAAATGGGGACAAAAATGATCTACTTAATAGGGCTGTTTTAAGGGTGAGATAAGTTCCTATTTGAAAGCCATTAAAATGATACCCAGCATGGAAAGTGTACCATATAAGGGTTTACAAAGTAAATAAATGCTTTTCTCTCCTTCTGCTTTCATTTGCAGTAAAAGCTCTAGGTGGTGATCATTACTAATGTTTACTAATATCCAGTTGCCTTCTCCACCTTCTTGAAATTAGTTGTGGCCGTAAACTAGTTCTGGTCAATGAAATGAGAATGGAGGTGATGTGTGTTACTTCCTGGTGAAAGCAAGTAAGAGCCAGAACTCACTCCTCAATGTTCCTCTTTCCCTGCCTCACTGACAATGGAATGCCAAGCAACACGAGGAAAACAGCTGCCCCAAAGAGTCACCTAGACCTGTGGTGACATCATACAAGCAGGAACTAAGCTTTTGTTAATTAAAACCCACAGATTCTGGCATTGTTTGTTACTGTACCATAACCTAGTCTATGCTGACTGATACAGGTTATGAACTTGTTTTAGGTACAGGAAATTAGGGGAACAATAATTCCTTGACTACACATTAGAATCACCTGTGGGTTTATAAAAATCCCAACTTCTGGGGCACAGCCCTCAGACCAAGTAAATCAGAATTTCTGAGCCTGAGACTCAGACATCAGTAGTTTCAAAGTTCCTGAGGTGATTTCACTGTGCATCAAGGTTCAG